AAAAAAAACAAAATCAAACAGCGAAAACTGCTCATCAAGCTCAATACAGGGAACCGAAATTACACGAATAAGTATTTCAGGGACAATTAAACGCTGAAACAAAAATAAGAGAAATGTTGCCCCATTTTAGTCAACATTCGTAAATCGGGGGTTTAATGGCCAAGGAAAGCCAGAATTTCTTTTCAGGAGATGATTTATTCTTTCAGGAGACTTTTTTCGGGCAAATTTTTTCAAGGAAATTTGTTCATTCACTATCCATTCGAAGAAATTACCAGCTCAAAACATATTATGTTTCGAACGATTTTAGTAGAACATTTTGGGTACAGCCCAGCTACGGTGGGGCCAGAAACAAAATCTATTCCGACAAAGTCTTGACTTTCATCCTAAACGCAAAAGAAATCATCATCCCCCGAAGAGCAAAGTCAGCGAGGAAAAAAAAAATTAGCAACTGAACAATTTAGGCTTTATCCTCCGCATCAGTCGCGGATCGTTTCGCACTTTCAACAGCACGACTCTGTCGCGACATCGTGCTGCTGTCGAGAGGAAGGACACGGAGGTGGTGGTGGCACTTTGACGTCAGTTGCTGCTGGAACTGACATGGCACCGTCGACATTTACAGAACGGATGTCGATGACGACTCGAGCGCCCGACTCGCGCAGTCGATGCACGCCGCTGATGAGCGCCTTCGTCCTCTGCGGGCTTCGGACTTTCGAGTTGAACTCGCCATCCACAAAAATCTGAAAATTCAAAAAATAACATTTATAAAGGTTGACACTCCATGAAACGAAAATCAAGGCATCCGTAAAAATGCATTGTCGAGAGAATTTCGCCGTAGAGAACCCCTATAACATGAGAGAACCTTAGGGGTAGAGGGCCGAAAAAAAAGTCGTTTGTACAGAGAATATATCATTTTGGAAAAGATCGCTGAAGAGAGAGAACGCATTTAATCTTTTTAAATTTTTTTGTGTTGAATTGTCAAGGGGCTTCGAAATTTTTTGACTATTTGTTAGTTAAAACTCTAGTTTTTTTTTAAATCCCAACACGAATTAAACACAACTTCACGGAGTTCGGCATGAGGTTAAGATCGATACCTTACTTCATATTTCCATATACCGTTATAATCGTCGAGCAAGTTTAAATTCGACCTTTTTCATAAATTAATCAGAGCAAGCTTTTGGAGGACGCACATAAATTAATTCCAGAAAAAAAAAGAAAAAAAAAAAAGCGTCTCGCTGGGAGTTGCAGCTGAGAAGAATCGTACAAAAATTAAAAAAAATAAAATCAAAAAAAAAAAAGAAAAAAAAAAAAGCGTCTCGCTGGGAGTTGCAGCTGAGAAGAATCGTACAAAAATTACAAGTTATATTTTTCATCAGTCCATCAAAGAAAGGTGCATGAGAGAAAGGTTTGTTCTAGACCGAAAAAGGTTTTTTAAATCGAGTTATTTTCAACTTGATGGCTGATGTACTTGCATCCTTGGTTTTCTTGGTCTTTGAATAGGTATTCCTAAAAATGTCATGCGTTGTGCTGCCATGCTCAATTAAAATATTGCCATTCTTTAAATTAGTTCCAGTATAACAAGCCTACTTTCGATCAGGTTAAAAATTCCGTCGACATCTGTCAGACAAAAAAAGTACTGGAGTCGCTCTTGAAAAGAATCGTCGAACAAGTTAAAATTCGACCTTTTTAAAAAATTAATCAGCGCAAGTTTTTGAAGGACGCACATAAATTAATTGCAGAAACAAAAGAAAAAGAAGCGTCTCGCTGGGATTCGCAGTTGAGAATAATCGTCGAACAGTTCGAAATTACATTTCTCATCAAATTCATCGAAGAAATGTTTCAAGAGACGCGCATAAATTAATCCTCGATAGAAAAAAAAGAACTCCTTGTTAACGTGACTAAGAAGAAAAAGAAGCGTTGCACAAGTGTCGCATCAGCATAATATTACCTTGTATCCGGAAACCCGGACATCATGTGGTGGTTCCCAAGCCAAAAGAATTCCATCTTCGCCCACAATTCTGGTCACGCAGAAGTTCTGCGGTGGAAGCAGCTGATCGCTCTTCGCAGGTAACGAAGAGCTCATCTTTTTATTCACCTTTTTAAAACGCAAAATACGCAATGAATTAAAGTTTCATCCCCGTTATGAAAATCATCAGCCCACACATTTTCTTTTCCATTTTCAACCGAGCCGTCCATGATTTTCGTGACAAATGACAGCTGTATTACCTCGAATACAGTAATTAACTACATGCAAATGCATGTCTTTTTTTATCACGTTTCTTAAAACATGCAGGATGAATTTCAGGCCACGATTGCTTTTCCTATTCACGATTGTGTTCACAAGCATTGCTTAAGTTGTGAGCATGTCCTTGCGGCATTTTAAGAAAAAAATAAAAATATTCAATTATTTATTTCAGGAGTTTCACGAGGGACATGCAACAGTTTCCCCATTTCATGCAGCTTTTGGGCAATTATTGGAAGACTTTTCGGGGTCTGGAATAAATTAGCAATTCTTTAAGGCTATCAATTGCTTGATTAATAATACATTTTGGATGATGGGCTTCTGATTGAAACGGACGGATCCGATCAACTGGGGCTTTAGCTTCGTTGAACTTCGTGGAAGGATTGAGTAAAATCCAGATAGAATCCTGCATATTTTGGGTTTGATTAATTTTTTTTACTGCATTTTGATTGTTTATATAGGAGCTTATGTACATATTTTAAGGGCGCAGAGTTCCTTCATTTGATTTGTATTTTTCAACAGGAAATTTTAAAGCAGAAAGCTTGAAGAAAAGTGAAAGAAAAAACTCTGAAAAAATTATAAGGTATTCAAGATCCCATCTGGGGAGGTGTTTATTTTTGCCTACTGCAAATTAACAACGGTGGTGAGAGAGGAGGTCACTTAAATTTTGCTCAAGTTAAACCAGATTCTGGGATGGAAGGCTATCCAGATAATGTTACGAGACTTTAGAAAAGTATCTGGTCTGAGGGCTTGTAGATTTTTATCATAGACCTACTTATTGTTCAAAAAATACCGTATACAAAAAAGTATTGGTGAAGAGTTGGTGCAGATTGAAGAAGGTACTAGTGATAGGCTTTCAAGGGGGAAAAGTAATAAAATGATTTTTTTGCTTTTTTATTCCAAAGTATTCGAGGCAGTGGTGTCAATGGGTAGACCTCACGCAAGCCCAGGTTGTCCTCAAAAATCAAGATGTGCAAATCAGGGCCTCGAAAAATTATCAGCATTAAGTATTCGAACGCATAGTGATCACCAACCCGTAGCTGGACCGCGGAAAATTTTCTTCAGACTAATGAATTTATCAAAAGTAAAAACAAAGTCTGTTTTCTTTGCCTGAAATTTTTGTTAAGACAACGGCAGTTGAATTTGTCTAATGAAAAAAGTTGGCTTTTCTCTCAATAACCTTCTAGACACATTTTCACCTGCTGAATTTAATTATGATTTTTTTTATCCTGAGACACCTTTCAAGTCCACCTTTCTAATTTTTTGAAGATATTCCACAATAGCTGCTTCATTGGTTCTCAACTTCATTGTTGCGAAAAAGCGGACGTTTTTTAAATAGCTGCCATAAAGTCAGTCTTTAAAAGAAACAATTTTTGCATCTGCAAAACGTTTATGAAACTTTGCCGCGAAAAATTTTATGGAAATTTGGCGGTACGCCGGGCTGAAAAAGGTTGGGGAAACTTGTAATCACCGTAAATACCTTTTCGGAAGCACTGCGGTGAAGCTTGAAGTTTCCTTTGCCTTCGTCGGCGTTGCATTTAATCACGGTTTGAAGCTCATCTTCGAGCGAGTCTGGTCCGCTGCCACTGCCCGACGACG